AAATTATAAGAGAAATAAATTTTTTTCTAAATAGTATAGTTTATTATTTTGTAGAAAAACAAAATTTCGAAAATTTTAATAATGTTTCAGAAACAACCGTTATTAATAATAGGTACCATTTTCCTTAATAAGGTAGAAATAAAATATAAACTATTTCCACGATTTACAAAGGCCTACAAAAAAATTATAGGTATTTTCCGCTATCCTATAAAATTTATATTTTCTGACTCAATTTCAAAAGGTTGAAGGAATTCCAAAACACCTTTTATGGCATAATAATTATTTTCAATTCTACATACTATCTTTAGCTGCTTTTAAAAACGTTCTAAGAAAGTCCAATCAGACCAATTTAATCCCTAAACTATTCCACACTTTTAAAATTTAATTACCTAAAAATATTAAAAACTATTTAAAATAACTTGTTTAGCAGACTGTACAATAGCTATCTTAGTCACACGTAGCGCGATCTCTGTCTGGGCGTCGAACACCTCTAGAAATTTGATGAACTGTATGTTCATTTACGGATTTGTTACTACCCATCTCTAAATTCACGCGATATAACCGAACTTCGATTTTCGTTCAAGGACGACTTACCCAAGTCCGACTCAGCTGAGTTTTGTTTATAAATACGGGCCTAAATATATACGCGCTAATTTTTCCAAAGATATTTTGACCCAGCGCTTCTTTAAACTCTCGCTATTTTATCATCACTCTATTACATCCTGGTGCCATTTTTCCCGGCGCTATTTTATATGATCGCTTTTTGTCAGTGCGCTATTTATTCTTGGGCTGTTTTATCCTGGCGCTATTTCTTTTGCGTTAATTGGTCCCACGCTATAATATCTTGCGCTATTTAGTGGCAGTGCCTTGGAAAGAATTCGAAAATATAATAATATATAGGATGTTTCATTTAAAATTCTAATGTCGCTATTTGTTTCGGGTATAGATAGATCTGCAAATGCTGCAGTAGCAAAAATATTTTTAAAATTGAGATCATGGGCTTCTATCAAGACAATCCAAATTGCAAAATAAGTAACTTTTTCGTTTTCCAATTATTGTCCATTTCCAAAAGTAAAACCAATTTTGTTCTGATGAGTCTATTTAAAATCAAATTAAGCTCCCTTCTGTAAAACGTATTTTATTTCCCAAAAACTGACATTAATCAAAAATCACTGAATTCTATCAAAAAAATCATTAATCTAACATAAAACAAGTATATAGGCAATAGTCTAGTCGATGACAAATTTACCATAAAGCAAAAAATCTTTGTTGTTGAAAGTTGGAAATTTTGAAAATCTGTTTACCAGACATATTGCAAAAAATCTAGGGAATAAGGATTAAAATTGTTATAACTTTTTGAAAATATTGAAAATTTCTGTAGATATTTTTGATACCTTTTTGTTTACAGTGTACATTATTTTGAAGTTTTAGCAAATGATAAAATGTGCATAAAAAATAAAAAATTTAAAAAGGTAGGCGCGTATTTGTACGTATCGGACGGACGCATCGGAGACACGGATTTGGAGAAAAGAATATTTTTCCTTACTTAAAAAGAGTCAACGCACATTCGTATCGAGCATATCCAGAGATAACGAGGAGATGTAACTACTAACAAATATCGTGCGGTCCTGAATAAGACTCATTCTAAGGGACACAGGAGGGTATAATATCTGCTGCTCTCATATGCCTATTTCATTATTCTCGTTTTGTCTACAAAATTATTTACATATATTAAAAAAGCTAAAATAATTCAACCTATTATATTGCAAGTTAACCCAAAATATTTTAAATCATTAGTTATATTAAATTTAACTAAATTAAATAAATATTAATAATTTCTAATAAATTCCAAAACCTAGTAATGTTAGGTTGGAAGTGGCAACAGGGCTTACACCGGCATGGATATTTACGTTGCTTATTATAAGCGCACATTTATTCATTGATAAAAATAAGTTGTATCTGCGTGAAATTATTCTCTTTATCCCCTCTCTTACTTCTCACCTTTCGTCTCCTCGCCGCGTCCCTACAAATAGAGTGTATCGATTGTCGAATTAATCTTGATATCCTGAATATTATATTTTATCAATGAATGGTTATATCTGGTATCTCTGAGCGTATCGCATAGACGAAAATCCGTAAAGGATTCTTGAACAAGAACTAAATCTGTCAAGTCGATGCTTGCGGATGATGTCATTTCGCAAATTCGAATGAATACGCCATGGGTCACGGCAAGAATCGTTTTGGATTAATCGTATTCACCATATTTAACTTGTTTGTGAAGTATTTTTATATTTTAATTCATTTTGCTTCTCTATAGACGAACGTATTTAAAAGATCACAACATTGTTCATGCGTCATTCGGAAGTAGTTATTGGAAAAAAATTTGCCTTATAATGTATTAAATTATCAAACAAAGTATGAAATTGTTCATAAAGCTTTCGATTTAAAATTATATTATGTACCCAAACCCGTTTTTTTTTTCTCCCTGCGTTCTTTTTCTTCAAATGCACATAAAATGTCAAATAACAATTGTTCTTTAGAACGATACCCATTTCAAATGGCAACAGAAAATAGAAATTATTTCGTATTTTCATTACTATAAACAAAAATGCGGAAAGCCGACCCGCATAAATGTGCGATGTCTGCAAAAACTACCATTCGTCCGATGCGTCCGTTCCGTCCGATATGTACAAATGCGGGCTTACCTTTAGTTTCTTTTGGTATTTGCTTTTACAAAGGACAAAACGAGATTTTTGGTATTGTGAATTAGTGTTTAGTTTAGTTGTTCACGATGCAAAGACGACATTTAAAACGCGATGAGCAATTGCGAGCAGTAGGGATGGTTGAAGGGGGTCAAAAATTATAGAGCAGTAGCCACATACTTTGATTACTATACGATGTAAGAGAGAGATCCGACACGCCCAACATAGGGCGCGGCCATTTTGAACCCTGTGATACAGTTTACTGCTAAAGAATCAGATCGCTCACTCTGCGTCGGCACTTTGGATCTCAATGTTTCAGTTTATACACTGTGCAACTCGGATAATACAATATATGACAACCGCCTATAATAAAACAGCAGTCTTCTGCGTATCCTGAATTTGTATTCCTGGAGTGGATGTTATTTTGGAACTTTCAACTGGTCCGAGTGAGCTAACTGATTCTTTAGCAATAAACTGTGACTTCAAAAATAATCACATACCTTGATTTTCTTTTACTATACGGGGAATGGTCGCACTGCGCAGCTTTCTGAGTGCCTTTTAAAATGAGATAGGAAACTCCGCTACTATTTTTGCCTCCTCTTTCGAATGGTGCATTTATTTTCACTATCGGAATGATACTTGCCCAGATAATTAGCATTTTTACAATGGAAAATTCCGGAAAACCCGGTTTTTCCTAATTTAAAAAAAATTGAAAAACTGCTACATCTTTTTTTTCTTTTTTTCGGAAAGATCACATCAAAATACACAAGGTCCTTTTTTTTCATCCAATTACAAATTAATGTAAGCTCGAAGGGGCTTTTTTTCGTTATTTAATTGGACTATTAATTTCTTATAGTAAAAGGTACACAAATTTTCAATTATTAAAAAAACATCTGATTTATGCTCTTGGGAAGCGAACCAAGCAAAATGAACATGTTCGTAAAAATATAAAATTAGTTTTTTAACAATGCATTCTATATATTCATATTTGGGTAGTATTTGATAAATATATTCATAAATAGTACCCAAAAATTGAACAATTTCTTTTTGAGCATAAATCAAATGCATTTTTTATTATATTCTATTAAAGGTTCCTCGACACATTCAATTTTATCATTAAAAAATTATAGCTTTCTTTTAGCTGAAGTTATATTTCAAAAAGATGGTTTAATCAAAACATCACTAATTACATTTATTTTTGCAAGTGAATTTGATGAAGGCATTATAAGTTAATGACATCCTTAGAACCTCAGTATATTTTTACAGCTATAAATTACTTAAATCTAAAATAATTAACGTTAATTAAATTTTACTCACCAACATTTTCCAGAAATATATCTGTCATGTTTTAGTGCAACAACAACATAACTTAATTTATTAAGATTGGTCTACGGTACTTTTTACAGACGAAACCGTATTCGTGTTACATCTGGATTTACGTCGACTTCGTGTGTGGAGACGACCTGGAAATCTGGAATATCTTACAGCAGCCCAGGAAGTATAAAGTTACCAGGGTGGAACAATAATGGTGTCGAAAGAAGGACTGACCTCATTTTATTAGACGACTTTTTGAATGCTGCCAATTATTGTGACATTATTTCGGAACCTGTTGTGCTTCCATATACCGCAGAATTTGGTCCGAATTTTCAGCTAATGCACGACAATGCTCGTTCACATACAGCACGGTTCGTGCGTTAATTTATAGAGACTGAGCATATCAATGTTTTGCCATGGCCTGCGTAGTCCCCAGACCTTAATCTCATTAAACATTTGTGGGATTCAATGGGGCGAAAAAATGCAGCTAACAGCTGTTTAATTATCTTTCTGACCAATGGAAACCAAATAGAAATTGACAATCTCATTTTCAGCACGCCTAACAGATGCCGGGCTGTAACTAATTGAGTGGGAGATTACACTGCTTATTAACAGAGCACAAACAATCGAGAATTTTGTTTTTGTGAGATTTCTTGCATACTAAGTTACTGAGATTTTTATTTGTTTTCCTATAATTGTTAAAATAATTTTTGTTTTTGGAAAATTTTGTTTTTGGTTAGTGCTAAACGAACGTTAGTATCACCAGTAGCCACACAAATGTTTAAGGTTTCCAAAAAGTTATAACAATTTTTATTCTTGTTCCCTAGATTTTTTTGATGTGTTCAGAGTTACTATGATTCAAGAAATAATTAATTTTTATTGGAACTCTTGTATGTTGTATATAACAGTTATAATTGAATGGTTAATTAACTAAAATACATAAGAATAATAAAATATATTTAATAATGCCGTTTTTTTTTTTAGGTAAAAATATGAGTAATTTAATTGGATGCGTAGAATCGAATTATTTTGACAACTCTTATTTCGGAATACATAGGCAACAATGCTTCTTTATGGACCCCATGCACCGTCTTGCCCTGGAAGGCGCTTTCTCAGCACTCTTAGATGCTGGTAAGAAAATTATTTTTTATTTATATGAACATTTGTTAAAATTTAATTTAATTAATGTATTTTTTTTTATTTCTAATTTTACTATTGTATTTTTCTTCTATATACGTTGATAACAAAAAATAAAAAAAAAACTTGATAATTACAGGTGTCAATCCAACGGAAATAAGAGGGAAGAGAGTTGGCGTTTTCATGGGTTCTACAATCGGAGAAAATGACCAGTTATTTATGGAGTCTGTTGTTAGTGGATTTGGTGTTACCGGTCATTCGAGAGCTATGTTAGCCAATCGAATATCATATTGGTTGAATTTAAAAGGTAGGAAAAACATTCATACATATTTAATACCCCATTTGCCGAGAAATACCGGATTTATCTTTTAGTTACTCGCGTGGGTAAATACGAGTATGTATGCTTGCCTAGCATTTTCTCCAGCAGCTCCATTCGCTAAAACTGTAACCGTCAGAGCAATGTTAGTAAATTGGACTGTAAAAAATACTTCTTTAAAAAGAAAAATATTTCCAAATTCAAATGTAAACATGTAAAAATAATACGCTCTATTATTTTCTGACACATGGTTAGACTTTACTTACTTTTTTAAAATATTAAGTACTCTAGACATGGCTCTATGCGCAGAGACTATATTATAATTTTAATTGTCTAGTACAATTGAACTAGATTTAGTACATTTTTGTTATTAAGGAATCTGGTACTTTAGTACTTTGCACATGATCGTTGGTCGTGCAGTGAATGCAGTATGTATTTCCATTTCTGTCCATTGGCATACATGATTTGTTTAACTCCTAGATAACATAATACATAACCCAGAAAACAAAATACAACATGTGTTATATCAAACAGTGCTAATAGGGGCCATTTCTGACTACTGATAAACATACAATTTATACGCAACAGTGACAAAAAAAATAGTGAAAATAGAGACAAATATTCGACATCCCACCTTAACATTACTAAATACCACGGTGTTATTATAAGCCCTGCACTATAAGGCCTGGAACGGTGAACCAGCATTGGCCTAAAGAACGAATGGCCAATCAAAGCAGTATAATTTCGAGCAGTGCACATATTGTCAAAAACTACACCGAAGTAGACTAAAGACAACCGTGGTTTATCATTTCCTTTTCCAAAGAAAATTCACCAAAATAGTACAAAACATCAATCACCGTTTTTAAACATCCGAGCCCAAACAGTTAAATATAGGCGAATAGACAGGGAGACTCCACGGAAAATCATTAGATGGCAGCATCGTCAGCATCAAAAGATGGGCGGTAGCGATAACCCCTACCAAAAATAAAATGTTGAAAATTATTTTTTAAATGGTTGAATACAAATTGGAACTGATACAAGTTTATGAGTGTTTTTCACATAATGTGCCAATTCGGATTACGGAAAATATTATATCTCACTTATGTTCTTATTATTATTAAAGTTTACACATTTGTTTGATTCATAATGAAAACGGCTACGAATAAAAAAAAACAATATTTTAAATATTATGGCTCTTTTTGCAAAAAAAACATAAAAAGCGTAATTTCGGTTACATCTCTATGACAAAGCATACCATTGTGTATTTTTTCAATGTATGGTTTTTAATGTTTGAGAATTGTTTGGTGGTATGGTTGATTTCACTTACAATTAAAAAAAGTAAAAAGTAAAACTTTACCCTATTTTTATTAAGTAAAGTTACCAAAACTTTAAAATATTTTTTTTTTATTAATATTTTTATAAAATGTCTTACTAAGGCGTTGTTCGGAAAAACCTCATTTGTTCAAAACTAATAATTTTGGAAAAGCAATAAAAACCCTGCTGGTTCTTTACGTTTTATTAAAAAGCTTTATTTTACTATTTAGTAGGTGTAAACAAATATAAGCAACATTTTCCAAAACATTTTGCAATTTTTTTTTCGAAACAATATGAGAACCAAAAAAAATACATGGACCTGAAAATACATGACGTTTTTGAAGGAAAAATTTACGAAATATGTTCTTATCAAAAATAAAAGTAAATTATCCACTATAACTAACCATATAAGCTTCTAAATAAAAGTAAACACAAAAAAAACTTCAAAACATTATCAGGGTTACAGGAACAATAACTTTTTTTAACAGTAATTTAGTAGTCTTCACAGCCACTGCTATTATCATCATTGCCGATGGTATTATTCATAGCAGCTGTGTCAAGTTCTGTGCTCTTCTGGTTTTTAATCAAGTCATTATAAATTTTTTGTTGCTGTGGTTATGTAGAAGAGGCAGAAGGTTTTCTAGAGTATCCAGTTTGGTTTTCTTCATTGAAATTGGCAGAATGTATGCATGTTCTAAATTTATTGCTTTTTGCATGGATATTCTTGAAGCTACAAGCGATGACCACCATGCATTAGTGTAGCTATCTCTTAGGAGTACACAACGATTGGTATTTTCAATTGGGAACATTCTTACATTTTTTATGTTAATTGCTGGTTTTGGATTTTTTTAAAAAAATTGTCAGTTGCACTTTTTATGTCAAAAATAATGGATTGGTCGACTTTGACAACTCTAAAAGGTAACGGCACAGTTTATAGCTAAAGAATCAGTTCGCTCACTCTGCGTCGGCACTTTTGATCTCAATGTCCCAGTTTATACATTGCACAACTCGGATTTGTATCCCTGATAACGAATTGAAATATACCCCAAAAAGCATGTAAAACATTGTACTTTACCAAATGGCACCTGTGCCAATCCCAATCCTCAGGAAAGTGGTTAAACAAATTTATTTTATATTAAAAAAATCACACAAGGGATGATAGCGCTAATTTTGTTTGTCATTAAAGTTTTCCAGAAAATAAAATATTCAAATATATCTTGATATATATCGTTGAAAGAAAACATTTTCTTCCTCTTAACATCACACAAAAACATCTGTCCACGATTAGTGGGTAAACATCATTAAAAATATGAATAAAATTTTGCTGATTTAATAGTATATTACATAACAAGAGTAGTAAGAAGCGAATTACAAGCGAGTAGAAAAGTTGCGCACGAGCCGCGTTAGCGGCGAGTGCAGTAATTCTACGAGCATGTAATTGCTCTTACAACTCGAGTAGTGTACTATACTTTATCTACAACCACAATCATACATTCTTAATAACGAGAAGGTGTTCGTAATCAATAACATTTATTAAATACATCTAATTAAAAATATTGTAAATTGCAAATGCAACTACTGAATTAACTGAACAAACATTAGCTACGTTCAATGAGTGTATCGAATTCTTGCTGCGATTAGGGTAGCAGGATCAGCTTGCTGCATGGTACGCTCCATACGTTCAATTTTAATAAATTAAATTTGTGTCGAAAGACAATTCTAGTTTAATGAAACGTAGCATTTGCAATCAAAAGTGAACTTGTTTATTTGTCACTTGGAGTTTTGACTCACATTCTACAATAATTTTTATGTTTAGATATTTCTTTTCATAATTTTTATCACTATGTAAAGCACAACCAGGTTGTTAAAGATATATTTTTCAAGCAAATAGCGAGAGATTTTAGGAGTTTTAGGTTATTTTTGGTTGTTTTTATGAGCTTTCCCGCTCAAATTTTGCGATCGCAGCAGAAAGGAGCGTAAAAATTAAACGCTCCAAAATGATACGGATCGATACAAAGCGATACCTATCGTAGAACGAATGTGATTGGTATCGGTTGGGATCGCTATGTCTCATTGAACGCAGCTATTGTTTCAATTATATTTTTGTGAATCAAGAGCTTCATTTAAATTTTTACTTATTTCATCAAAACAATGTCTGCTTTTAAAAACCGTCTGACGGCTTTTATTTTGGTTACGTTTTAAAATTCATTTTATTTTATATGGAAATGACGATTCTTGACATCGAATACATTGCCTAAAATGATGCAGGTTTCAATTGTTCCATAAGTTCCCCAAAATCTGCCAAAAGCACATTCTCAAAGAATTTTATACCTTGCCCTTGATTTTAAAGGCTGTAACTTGTTAGTAAAATATTAGTAGCTTTTTTAAGTATATTAGGAGTTTCTTGAAATTAATTTTTACTATCTGACAAACTCATTTTGATCTTTAAAAAAATAATTTTGTAACTACAACAATGGCGATTTTTCTATTTCTGAAATGTCAAAACTTTTTATCGTAACCATGGCGATAACTTAGCAACGTAGTAATATGTATAGTTTGATAAATGAAACTGTTATGTAATATATATAATTACGTAACAGTTTTGGGATTTCATTACGTAACAGTATCTGTAATGATGTATTTACTTATAAACAAAACGATACATAATATACGATTTACTGTGGTGGTTGTAGATAAAAATTTATTTGTATGCCTGTTGTTATGATTCATTTTTACAGGTAGCCCTAGAAACGATAAAAAAACTAATATGATTATGGTTTAAAAGAATTGTATAACAAGAGTTTATAATTATTATTGACTATCTCTGTAAATGGTTTATACATACACGTGGTTTAAACGGCAGGTTTAAACGCTATGTGATTTTTTGAATATTAAATAAAAATTTTTAACCACTTTGCTCAGGATAGGGATTGGAATAATTTGGTAAAGTACAATGTTGTTACATTGGAGCATATTTCATTTCGTTATCAGATGACGGTCGAAATTTGCAGTGTGCTCTCTTACTATAACCAAATACAATATATGACAACCGCCTATATTCAAACATCAGTCTTCTGCGCATCTGAATTTGTATCCCTGAAGTGGATGTTATTTTGGAACATCCAATTGTTCTGAGTGAGCTGATTCTTTAGCTATAAACTGTGGTAACGGTTTACTTCATCATTGTAATAGTACATTTTATACCTAGGGTGAGAAGTGAGCTATTATTTACCGAGCCCTTTTATATCCTGAGGCGCGTAGCGCCGAGGGATATAATGTGCGAGGTAAATAATAGCTTTCTCAGCCGAGGTATATATAGAATTTTTTTTACTACTAACATTAATATATTAGCAATTTTAATTTGAACATAAGTAATTTCCTAACAATTTCTTAAATATTTCGAAATATCAAGCAGACTGGAGCGTGTTTCTAATCAGACTGGCTTTATTTATGTAAACATTTGGCATGTGTCAAATTTTGGTGTGATTCTAGGAAATATCCCATTGCATTTTTGATATTTTATTGACATGGATTTATTGGTATTAATTAATAATTTTTGAAGCCGGTGTTGAATTTCCTAGTTAATACAGTGTGTCTACTTAAGTTGGAACCATATGGAAAACATTTTTATTATTGATTTTAGGAAAAAAAGTTATTCCTAATAAAAAGCCCTGCAT